GCGATAATTAAGTAGATATTCACAAAAAGACAGACTCCAAAATTTTGGATAGAAACAATATTTAACAGAGACAGTATATCTGTAAAATGGGTTTTGTAAATACAGAAAGTATTTCATAAAAAACAAAAAACAGCAAGGTGGGCAAATTTTCAGATGAAAAAATAGGTTTTTTTAAATAAAATAGAAGATATAGAAAAATACATGACGTGATGAAACATTGTACAAATTTGCTGAGTAGGTTTAATCACCAAGACAGTGTAACGTCCGCCACAGCTTCTCTCTCTCAGCGTACATAGATTTAGTTTTTACAGTTTGGTGGAAACAGCTTTAGCAAAACATAGCAAGTTAGCTTCCTTTTGCCTACTGATTATTTTGAACGATTTCAGACTGACCACAATATGACCAGTGTCTAGTAGATGGTGTGCAATCACCCTTTAGTCTCAGGTCCTTCGGTATATGTTGTTATTAGAGTAGAATTTGGGCACAGTGGTAGGGTGTAGCTTCATAATAGAAAAGTTTTATTTGACAGAACTCAATGATACAGTGATATTATTGTCATTAAATATATACTGTATCATTATATTTTATCAAATTAAATTATGTTATCCAACTCTTATAACAAACTCAGCAGTCACCGCAAAACAGATGGTGACAGTCACCAAAATGTTTATAAACTAAGGATTTATTAGTCAAAAACTGTGACTGCGTTACCAATGCCTTCAATTTATTTCCTTTGGAAATTACTTAATTACAAGACTGCACCACAGCCTTATATTTACATCACTGCTTATTATTCGATTACACAAACTTTCACGAAGTGGCCATCCAAAATATCTGCACTCCACCTCAGGATAAACAACTAGATTCGGATTTTCAACACAAATGTGAAGTCAGTCAGTTCTTCAATACGGGTCAGAAACTTGCGCTGCGTGTCACGAAAAGGATTTCCAACAGTCTACAGACTTTTATCAACAGCTGCCGACTTCGCTGGCTCTATACTGAAGATCAAATCACCGGCAGGCCAGAAAGAATCAGCAGCGAGAAACTCTGGAAGGTGACGAACAAATCAAGAGCCGATTGACTAACAAATATTAGGAAGAAAATGGAGATGCATCGGACATGTGTTGATGAGGCCGTTTAGTGACATCGCGCACTAGGCCATCACTCGAGTGGGTCGTCAATGCGAGGGTGATCGTGTGAAGAGGAGATAAGAGATTATGGTTAATCGGGGACCCAGCTGAAGAGGACAGCAGAAAATAGGAGAAAGTGTAGATGTGTCTAGAAGCCTTATGTTCCACTCGGAAACCAAGGGAATAATAATAATAAAACCATGTTGAAAACCGAGCCAAGGGCGGGTAGTTTAACCTGAAACTTCAGTGGATACTATTTCGAACACTTCGGCAGGTTGGTGATCATACAAATATCAAATGGATACAAGTGGTTATGGAAAAAACTTTTTAAAATAAATTAACAGTTTTACTCAAAAAACTATAAGCTAAATACTGGGATCGAATTTACATATTTATTTTTTTAGCTATTTATATTATGTCTTAATAAAAAACCGAGTATGCTGTGGTAAATTAAACTTTCACTTGTTCAGCTGAAACTTGGAAAGGATCTAGTTGGAGTTAGAAACTTTTTTTTATTCGTTTCATCTAGATTTAATGCGTCAGCTTAGTCTCCTGAATAGTAATTAGGTATCTTAGCGAGGATACTTATCTAGTATTTTAATTAAATTAGCCTACACTTCAGGATAATTTATTTAGTTATTGTAAAGCTAAGTTTCCTGATCATGTTTTTTCTCATTTAAGATGAAAAATGGTGCGGCAGTGGCACAGCGGTAGAGTGCTCGCCAACCGCGCATGTGGTCCGGGGTTCGGTTCCCGGACGATGCACTCCTTTACCTCGGTATGCCAGTAGTAAGACTGGTAAAGGGGATGGTTGGGCATGAGGCTAGCAACCCTATCCTGTAAAAATAATAAACACTGCTACCGAAACTTCGAAAATCTAGCTTGAAGCCCAATGATTCACTGGGAACGTAAGGGAATAAAAACAAAAAAGATGAAAAATAATCGAACGAATAAAGTGAGACATTTCAGATGTTAGGTATGCTTTTGAACGGAAATAATTTTATGTTTTTCCTGAATTTGAATATTTTACCATGCATATTTTGTCACCAGTCATCTTGTCATTACTTGATCTGACGCATATAACAATAAAAATGACGCCTAATACAATGTTTCTTAGTGAAGTAATACTTCAGTAGGAATATCTAAACTAGCTCTTAATTAAATTCATTTGGAGAAAATGAGTGTCTATGAATTACAGTCTTGTAAACTATCAATAATAATTGAGATGTAACTTTTGTTAAACATTATTTGGTGACTCTTTTTCTCAGACCAGTGCACTGAATTCTGACGATGTCAATTTTTTAAAAATGTTTTATACAGCGACGTCTAGAGTGGAAAATATTAAAAACATGGTTTTAATCCGTACGAAGCTGGGTGAAGGTCTTCAACCTTAAATGTTATTAACAGTCTCTCATTGTTTCTAAAAATCGCTAATAATCTTCAGAGTTACGATTTAACAATAGCTTTATCTGTTGAACAGAAGGTTAGTTAAGTCTATAAAAAAAGATTGATTCGCGTTAAAAACACCAAATTCCTTTTACAAAACTCATAGTCGGTATAACAGTATGAATAATGATATTCGATATTATAACTGTGTCATATGGGACAGTTTATAAGAATCAAACTTCTTCAAACAACAGGAGTGATGGTAATCCACATATCAAATTCTAAACCCTGCATACAGAAGAATTTTGTTCGATCACTGAACCTACAACTGACCTAATTTGCCTTAATACGGGTTACGTAATTTTCGTTAAACCCAACTTTCTAATTTATTATATATATATATATAAATACATATATAATTACGTTGTTCCTCTCCCTTCCCACCATTACATTTATACCCCTTATGATACCGGCTTTAAATTGGCTACCTTTCAATTTCAGTTGAATTCCACCCTATTCCTCTAGTTACATAACATCATGCAATTTACCTTTTTTAGTTTCTACCCGACTAACGCTTTCTGTATTGCATAATCGTTGTTGACACATCTTTAGAAATATTCCTTTTCTTACTAGGATAATTTGTTATGTGTACAACATAAAAAGAATGATATCGCTGAAAATAGTGACTCTTCACTGAACATCTTTCCTTTTATAGTTTCTGGTCAGTTTTGTGGCAGACAGATCTCCACTCTTTCAAGCATTTGTTTATTTATACTTGTTTTCCCAGTATCATATTACTAGCAATATTTATGCGTAACCCTTTAATTACTGAACAACACAAAGAAACACTTAAAGCTTCTCATTTTATTGGATAGATATCCATAAGTACAGATCTTTTCTCTGAAATACTCTTCTTTGGCACTGAGATGGCAAAGTTTATAAACAGTTTCTTGCCCTCTGATTTTGATTTATGTGGAAAGCGTATACTTAGACTTCATCAAAACGACTGATGCACTAAAAGTAGTGTATGAATGGGTTGAAAACACTAATCAAAATAGACTAGTGGGATTATCAAAGATACAACTTTTAATCATGAATTCCTTCCTCAAACTTGTCTTAAGTGACTACTAAAGAGTGTGTTTATACTGCTTTTTCAATTACTTTAAAAGTTAATTTAGGGAGAAAAGAACAAGAAACTCAGATAGGTTATCTTTACAGGGAACTCATACTCAAAAGTAGCTGAACAATCGCATTTCTACACATAAGTCTACATAGTTACAATTGTTATTTAATTCAATATAGTAACGTAGGAAGATTAAAGGTGCTAATAATTCTCAACTTGGCATGAATGTTTTGAGGTGTGAATATAGATCACAAGAGGCATAAAAACAAAATAATATAGGATTAAAAATTAGTTGCATAATATGTGAAGTAGTTTCTTCACCGAAGACAGGTGCTAATGGGATGTGTATAGAAACAAACTGACAAAATAGTTTTTATAACTGAAGGTGATAAAATAATGAAGGGAATGAGAGGAAGACAATTGAGGGGCTAAAAAATCTAGATTCATGGCCATTTACAAAGTGAAGAAACGTTTAACAAAGGAAGTGCGTTTCCAGCTTCTTTGTACTATAAGCGCCCTTGCTATATACATTGAGAAGCCGGAGCTATGTGCTCAGAAGAAACTACTCCACCCTTTAAATTTACCGTGGATCTAGTTCTGTTTGGCTGCTTAGTTTTCATCTGTTTGTCTTTTCATTCCACTCACATTTTTGATTAAATTCAGTTATAATAAAACAATTATTTCATTTTTTTCTATGTACACCTGTCTTCGGTTAAGAAAATATTTTACATTTTACGCAACTATTTTCTAATCGTATATTATTTTGCTTCTATATTCACACCACCGAACATTCATACCAAGTTAAGAATTGTTACCACCTTTAATCTACCTACGTTACTATGTTCTATTAAATAACAATTGTAACTATGTAGACTTGCATAGAAATATTATTGTTCACCAGCTTTTGAGTATGAGTTCACTGTAAAGAAATCCTTTCTGAGTTTCTTGTTCTTTTCTCCCTAAAAAGAGTTTTAAAGTAATTGTAAGCACAGCGCAAACACTCTCTTTAGCAGTCACTTAAGACAAGTTTGAGAAGGGAATAAAATGTCTATCACATGAGAAGATTAAAATCATCAACAAACTGATTCTTCTGCTATATAAACTACTTAGTTATTATCTGTCAAATATTGTCTATAATATTATTATATCGTGTACTACAAATATTACTATCAGTATAATCAGTAGTGTGTGTGGTGCTAATAGTACAGGTTGATGTATCATGAATATTTGATAATTTTTACACAATTCATACATTAATCAGTAACTGTGAACATTTTTCTGACATTCAAAAAATAAGTTTCAATCCCCTCAATTAATCAAAAATAAATTTAAAAAATTATGATAAATAATACATGACTTACATTGATAAATGTAAGTGGTTGCGAAATACTACCTCTGTTTATAAAGATGATTTTCTATATATATATATATTCTATTTGCCAAAAATATTTGAGAATATTTTTTGTTTATTTGATATAATCACGTATAGAAATAATATTTGTTGTTTCAATACTGAGACAACAGTGAAAGTTACTCCTCACTAATTGTGTTAGCCAATAAGAATAAAATTAAAGGTGAGATAGGTGGTAATCACTGAAAGATATTTGTCAGTTGTTTTCCTGTTACTATTATTATTATTCTACCTTAGAAAAAGGGTAGATATTGTGTGGCTATTTCTTCACTGACTAGTGTAGACCGATAGAGGCTCTAGTCTGCAACAGGCGATTTTCTTTCAGCTGTACAGTTTCCTGGTGTTAAGGTTTCTCCATTAAGCCAGATAGAATAACAGCTCTGGAAATTACCCTAAAAATCTTTCATATTTAATTAGCATAAAATTTGATTTTTGTTGCACTAACCAGACATTTTACTTAATTTATATCACGAATTGAAAAAAGGTAGAATTCCTCCTCCATTAGATGCCTTTCCAGTGGCAGAATGGTTAAAGAGTTCGCCTTGCAACCTGCAGGTCTTTGGTTTGATCCCTGGCGGTGAGATCATGGGTGTATACTGTTGAAGAGTCCTAAACTAGAACAAGACAGCTGTCCTGTTCTCCTCGGTTTTCAGCGGTTCTCTCACTGATATCAATCAATGATAAAACTTGAAATATATTAATATTTTATTTTTATTAAAATTATTAGTATGCTAGTATTTCTTACAGATGAAAGTCATAACACTGTGATCACTGAGAAGTAACATGTTTTAATAAATTTAGAGACTGCAGATAATTACTGTTATAATTAATTACTGTTAATTACTGTTATATTGAAATCCAGACTACCATGAGCACACTATTCAACTAATGATAGATAACATTATAAGTTCGACTAGAGGTTTTCAATCGTCCAAAGCTGGTTACTCTAAGCAGTTGTATATGTTTTTAATATTCTGAAACAGACTGGTATTTACTCTTTGCCAATCTCTTGAGGGAATGAAGAAATAAAAAGTAGTAGGCTTAAATTGTAATAAATTTGTTGAGGAATTCAGATTTGTTGTCTGTTTCTTTTTTGAACAGAAGACTGACAAAACAAATAAAGATATAACCACAAGTGAACAATAAGCTGTTATGAAATATATTTTAATAACAGTTGAATTACTCGAAAGCCGTCTAAATCGAAACATTTGACTATTTCAGTGAAATAATTATGTTGTTTTATCGTTGACAAATGTTTATTGTCAAACAAAGATGGGATTAAGCGTGAATCAGTTTAATGACTCTATGAGGTTTCATATCAGAATATACAAGCAACCTTCTTATTTATATGAGTAAAATCAGATGGCATGATTTAGTGAATAAAAATATTATTATTTCCTTTAGTTCCTAGAGGAATATAGGGCTTCAGCTGCATGTCTCCATTGCGTTTTGTTCTCCAGCAATGTTTTCACCTGGCTCCATGTCTGCCCCCATGCTTTCACCTCCTCTTCGCATCGCCTGCTCAATGTCACCTTTGGACGACCAACTAGCCACTTCCCATTCAGGTTCCACTCGAGGGATGGCCTGTCGTGTGATGTCACTTGATGGTTTTCTCAGAGTCTGGTCAATCCACCTCCATTTCTCCCTACATATTTGTTGCACAAAATATATTGGATGAGTTTTTAAGATACATTCTAATATTACGTATATCGAAATTCATTCGAAATATTTCAAAACAAGGTTCATTATAATTATGGGTATATACGAAACAGACATCATTATATTAAAGTGACAGCAGCAAATAAGAAATCGCACTTGCGAAATATTGAGTCTATGGAAATGTACATCGTTTACAAACTGTCAACTGCTACCCGTTTTTTAAGATTCGCTATCATCTAATTTATTCATACTGTCCTTAACTATGGTTTACTTCAAAAGTCTCAGAAATAGGGAAAATTAAGAATAAATATGCTTTTATTCATTAATTTTCTGTTGCAATCGGAACACCATATAAAAACGGAACAATCATAAGTGGATACATCCGTTTGTTCATAATATTATTCTTGCTGAACACTTTTTATGTTAGGCTGAGTAATTGAAATATAAATACGTGCATATACATATACGTGCGTAAATATACATTTTTAATTATTACCTTAGTACTTTTCATCTGATTGACTTGCTGACATCGTTTGCATTTATGCTGCTTAGCTTTATTTTATATTTTCATTTTATTGACTTTTTAAATCAATTATGGACGGAAATGGACTGAAGGTAGCTACTTCCGAATTCCATTGCGTTTCCAGAGTTTGCCATCATTTGCTATGTAACATCTTAGACTTCAGAAAAAAAGATTTCACAAAAATTAACTCAAGTATAAGCTAATTGTAAATGTATCCTTGAAATGATGTTTGTAACTGCCTGCATACAGTGACATATCTGTAAAGCATTTGTGACTGGAACTGTTTTTAATAAAATTTGCCATCACATCAGTTTATTGTATGGTTAGTAACCTTATTTATTCTTTCCTCTGTATAATCTTAGTATAGAAAGATACTCATTAAAAGAGCTTTGTAACGCTTCAAAAGTGTGACTTTTGAAACTACAATGTATGAATAATAATTTTTGTGATTTCCCCTTGATAAATTTGACTACATGGACCAGATTCATTTTTGTATATTGACTCCTAGAACGTATACATTTATATTATCAGGATTAGGAAACAGAATTTACCTGACTTAGTAGGTCATGTAAAGAAATAAAGTTGATCAATGTGGTCCGAAATATCAACGGAAAATCACAAAGTAAATAAGTAATTTAAGTAAGATCACAACCGCCACACAAGAGATAACTGTCTTTACCTAGTGTATAACGCTTGGCATTTGAAGCGATGAGTAATGGGTTCGAGTCACATTGGAATCACCTAAGCTGTCTTTGGAGCAAGTACATCCAGTGAAGGGTTCCAAACGGGACGACAGGCATATCCTAGATTCAGCTGCTTGCCACCACCACACAAGTAACTTCGATATTTTTATCTTGGGTCATACTTTTTCAGGAAATGACTGTTAGCAAAAGTGCAACGTGAATTCAGCAAACTCAGTCTTATTGTATACAATCAAAAACTAAAATTTAATTTTAAGTGGGAATCAGTTTTCTAAAAGAAACACTGAAATTTCTTGTTTCAGACATATATGCAGATATAACTATTTTTTCATTTGATTTTATTATCTTTTATTAAACGTATATCAATGATATTCATCACATTACTTAAAGTAGTTTCAAAAGTGGTACCTGAATGAGGACAGCGTTTCTGTGAGCATCGCTGTAGACGTAGATATCATTGGCAAGCAAAACGCCAAAAAGCATTCTCTTTCTTTTTGACAAAAGTTTCATTGAATACTGTGTCTTTTTTCGGAGGTAGGTCTTCTTTTTAAGTGGTCCTACCTAGAGAACTAGTTAAATAAGCAAGTACTGGATAGTTACTTTACCTTGGCTTGATGCAAGCTGGTGAAATAAAAACGGCAAACTTAAAAGTAGTGAACGCCTTACCTTGTGACATAGTGAGACTGTGACCGAATGCTACTTTAAAAGCAGCCTTACTGTGCTTTGTAACATTAAGTAAATTCGTTTTTTCTCATTCCTATAAGCTTTGAAGTTTTAGTAGCACTTGTGGATTTTAATAGGTGAGGTTGCTAGACTCATGTCTAACCTTCCCTGTTCTGAGAGCTTACAACCATCTAGGCGAGATTTAGGTCTGCGTCGGCTGGGAATCGAACCCGGATCATATGCTTAGCTGGTGGGCATTCTACCCCTGAAACAGTAAGTCACTAAACCAAGCAAAATTTGTCCCAGTGAAAAACACTTCATGCTCTAAATTCAGCCTTTTTCTGCTCAAAGATATTCCTTACTCTTGTGAAATTATTTCAGAAATATGCACTCAAGAAAAATCAAATAGTTTCTGTTTTGAAACAGAAGATAAAAGAATACTGTACGCAGAAATAGCGGTTAAATTTATAAAATAATTAAATACGTGATTAGAAACATTCTCAGCATTATCCACCTGTCGTCAAAAAAAATTCCCAATCTGAAGCTTCAGTTTTGAGTCGCTCGTCTACAAACTAATTATTTTATGAGATAAACTACAGCTTGTGTATAAGTGTAACACTACGGTATCAATACAGTGAGCGCAAAGTAACTCTCATTTTTCTGTAGACAGGTAAGTGTCTTCAAACTCCCGAACACAATACATGGGAACTTGTTAAGTGATTTAATTAAAAGGCATGTTTATTTATATTTGTTCATTTGATTAACTGAGTTATTGTGAGTGTGAGTGCATATATTTAAGACTGTTTTTTGAGTAAATCCACTCCACACAACGGATTTTTTGAAAAAATGAGATTTCCTAATTTTCTTTACAGGAAATTCTCTCATCATAAAGCAATTATTATTCAATGATGTCTGTTTTGAAAGCTGCTACGGGAAGTTACTGACAGCATCAAAGAGGCCATTTTGTAATAACACTTGAAAATTCAACTTTTAAGGAAATACATAAATGAATCTGAATATACCTTTCACTTCAAAACTCGAGCTTGATGTCTTATCTTTCACCGAATAAGAAAATGCACAAAAGCCGTACAAAGAATACATCATATATGTTTTATTTTATATAATACGCACAAAAAGTGATACAGTATTAATAACTGGATGATATGATGATATTAGATAGTTGGAGGCAATCGCAGGAAGCCTTGGACCTAGGTTTTGTGCTAGTTGGCACTCACAAGTCAGCAAGGCGTATCTGCAACCTAGAAGAAACTCATGTCCCTTCTGAGATTGGAATCCGCGTCACCCAGTGCTGCAGTCAGAGACGTTACCACAGCTATTCGGGCTCGCGATTGACCTCCATTGCAAAATCTGACTGATAGAATTCAGTATGAACCAAAGAAAGGACTAGACACGTCACACTGGTTACTATTGTCCAATCAAAATACTCACTACACTCCTATAGGAGGTCAATCGCGAGCCCGAATAGCTGTGGTAACGTTTCTGACTGCAGCACTGCGTGACGCGGATTCCAATCTCAGAAGGGACATGAGTTTCTTCTAGGTTGCAGATACGCCTTGC